GGCCAATTTTGATGTTTGATAATTCAACTACCATTAGAACCACAAAGACGAGCTCTACAACTTTCAATTAATCAACAAGGTCGATTAACTTAGTACGAAAAAAGGTTTTACTTGGAGGATCGCCATATTCGCACTATAATAAATTTATATAGTAAACTGCATCATATTATACTAAGATCATGCACCTGTTAAGTGGCAAATTATCAATTAATATAGTTTTTTTTAAATATTAAAATAAATATTTAGACTCTTAATACTTTATTAATACCAAATATAATACTTAGCATAGACTAAGCTAAATTATATTTATATTATGAGAGTACAACTAGCCACATATACAACTTTTGGTTATCTATTTAAGTAATTTACTCTAAAGTTCTATACTAGCAGTTATATTTATAATCTATTAGAAAATTACTTGTTTAAACTCTCTAACTCTATATTTGTACTATATTGTCTATATTTAATTCTTTTATTTTAGAATCTGAAACTTTAACTTCTAGTATCTAGTCTCTTTTTTAAAACTAAAAAAAATATTTATTTCTATACTAAACTCTAAAATTTTAATATATTGTAGTCTTATATTACTTTTATATATAATAAAAAGTATATTATTCCTTATCTAGAGTAAAATTTAATATTACTTACTCTTCTAAGATTATTTAATAAACATACAAGATCATGTATAATATATATAATATGTAAATTATTTTTATATAACAATAAAAAACAATTTTTTAAAAATTATCAATATTTTACTATTTTGTTTATGAAACCACTTTTTGGGTTATAACAAAAAAGATTCTTTATATAATTTTATATATAATACACTTAACTCTAACTTGCTAATATCTTAGGCTTGATTATTTTTTTAAAAAAATAATAAGAGAGATAAATAATTTATCTAAGTAGTAAATAAATTATTTTTATAATAAAAATTTTATCAAATTTGAACTAGTAGTTGTTAAGAAAATTATAGCTAAAGTTAATATAAATATATAATTTTTAGTATTTTACAAACTAAAACTTGACTAGCCAATTACTTTATTATAAGATTTTATAAGATTATATAAAAAAAAGTATTATTTTGAACTTGAACTAATATTTATTTTTAAATTTATTTAGATTTATAAATTTTAAGTTTGGTTCAGGTTTAAGTTTAATGATCTGCAAAATTTAAAGTTTAAATTCAGGTTTATTAAACCTAAACTCAAATCTAATCGAACTAAACCAAAATATAGAAACTCTAATAGATAATATTAAACAACTTTATTAAATATAAATATATAATATAATTAAGTAGTTATATTATATTTTAAATTATAATAAAAAGTGCACTAAGATAAAATTAAAGTAAATAATAATTTTTTATATTATTTAAATATTTAAATAAAACTAAACAAATTTAATTACTTGGTTTTATAATATAAAACTTTTAAAAAGTATGATAATTTAGTTTAGTTAGTTGGTTGTTATTTTCAAGCTCTTTGTAACTAAAAATAAAAAGTTTAAATTTTACTAATAATAGTTTTAGTAATTATCTTGTATTACAGTAACTAATTTTTATTAATTAATTAGGCTCTAAAGCTTATAACTCTAGTTAAACTATATATTTTATATATTAAAAGGTTTTAGAAGTATCTATATAATACTAAAGCTATATATAGTGTTTAGCAAAATTAAACAAAACTCAATTATTGAGTTTTTGAATTTATTAATTTACAATATTGAAAATTAAATACAAAATTTATTTTTAGTATATATATAACTTTAGTTTTTATAGTAACTAATATGAAGTTTAAAATCAGATTAGAATAAAAATAGATTTTATAATTGAAGTACAATACTACAGATCAATAAATTTAATAACTTGATAATTAGGTTTTTGTTAAATTTTGCTAGACACTACTTATATAAAGGAATACAAACTGGTTTAGATAATGCAAACTCACAATAAATTTTTGAAAACTGCAAAAAACTAAAAAAGAACTAAAAGATCAGAAACTAGCTTAAAAAGTTTTGAATAGAGAAGTAGTATGAATTTTTAATAATAATATAAAAAAATTTTAAACTAAAAATAGATACTTAAACTAGAAATAAAGATACAAAAGACTTTAAAAAAGAAAAAAATATAATACATATTCAAAAAAAAAGAATACAAAATACTTTTAAGAAAAAAGACCTACTAACCAGACTATTAGAGTATAAGCTAAAGAAAATAAATATATACTATAAAAGTATATACTAGAGTTGAGATAACTATAAACTAAAAGTTTAGTAAATTTAATCTTTTGTGTTAATAAATTAGAAGCTCTAAAAGCTAGAAAAAAAGTTTATGTATTAGAAAAAGAGAAGTATATAGATACTAGAATTTAAGTAAACTTTGCAAAAACAAAAATAAATAACTATAGAGATAAATATTTTTCAAGTATATAAGTTAAGCTGTAATACAAGTTACAAATGATATATATATAAAATATGGACTGTTTTGCCAAATTTACTATAAAAATAAATGCTTTTTTTTAGAAAACTAGATATTGAAACTAAAGTTTTAAAGTTTTATTTGCAAATTACTCTGCAAAAGAATATATTAAAAAAATGTATAACAAGAGTTAAAGCCAAAGAGTTTAAATAAATAGCTTTCTAGTTAGGCTATAGGTATAGCAGCTAGTATAAAATTTTAAAATAAATTACTTAAATCAAACAATCTAAAGTTGTACATATAGCTAGTTATACTATTGTAATATAATATAATATATTACTAGTTTTTCTAACCAGGATAAACTACTTGTATTAAAAAAATCCTAAGAGTTTTAATATGTAATCATCTTAATATTAAATAATAATAATAATAATAATAATAATAATAATATAAAACTTTTAAATAAACCTGGCTAACTAGCTTTTTATTTTAAATTTTATATATAAAATTTTATAAAATTTATATAAAAAATTTTTTAAACCTACCTAGTTATTAAAACATAAAAATTTTTTTTAAAATTTTCAAATTTTAACCTGGCCAGGTTATTAAAACCAATTAATTAATTTTGCATAGTTTAAATATATTTATTAATATTCTTTATACTTATGAATAGTAAATATTTGTAACTTATACTTATGCTAGATTAAATTGGATATTTATTTTATTTATACAAAAGATACTAACTCAATGAGTAAGAATAAAGTATATTTTTTAGATAAAGCTAGTCAAATTCATAATTATATTAATTAATTATTAATAATTAATAAAATTTTTTGCTTATATTTAAATTTTAAATATGAGTATGAATATTAGAATTTAATCAATCCAATAAATAATACAGTATTAAATTTATATATTGCACATTGCGATACAAAGTATCACTATTTTATTTAATATTGTCTATTACAGAACTTAAAAATATTGCGGCACACAGTATGTGGTTAAGGATGAGTTAGTTTGCATTAAAATTATCCATATTGGCGGATTTGCAATAATCTTAATTTACTATTTTGATATGCTTAACCCTAAAATCTAAAATTAAATTAATAAGATGCTAGAAACCTATACTAAACAATAAAAAAATAGTATAACTTTTAACTGCATCATCAACTTTTTATAGAATAAAAGCTATTTGACAATTTGTAGAGCTTATTATAAAGAAAAATTTAATGATCCGATTTTTTAAAAGGTTACCTTTATAAAAATATGGTACTTTAAAGTTTATTTTAAATTGAACCATATAGTAATTATTTATAAAACGATAGTAATCTTTAAAATTCATCAATTTTTTATTACAGAATGTTTTTCAAAAAAATATTTGATAAATTTTATAAAACTAATATTGCTTTATAAAGTTACCAGTCAGTTTTTTTAAAAAAACCTCTTGTATAAAAAGTTATAGTGATTTAAAAATTGAAATATGTCGAGTATAGACTTTTTGCATTATATGTAGGTTGAAAATAATCTGGAGTTTAAAGTTTATAGTAATTTATATGTTTTTATTATAGTATATATTTATTGTAAAATATCACTATATGACATATTTCCTAACTGATATTTTCTTCGGGACATGGTATAGTATTCTCAAACACAAAATTGCTCCGGGTACAAATCATGGAATCGACTAGTCAGCACTAAAAAAAAAAGACAAGTGGTTAACAAACTTGTCAAAATCACATGTCGTATATAAATTATTATATATATATATATATATACCTGGCGACGATCTTTTTATTCGGAAAATTTTATTTCGGATTACTGTATTTGCGAAATAATTTCGGAATTAAAAAACATTTCGCCACATTATTTTATCTTTTCCTAAAACAGCTTTGTTTTCTTAAATTCCCTCGGAGTTTTTTTTTGTCAATGTTGTCGGTAATAATACTGCGTGTGCACTTCAATCAAAAAAAGAATAAAGATTTTGGCGCAATTTTATTATATGCAATTTGTTGAAACACAAATTTTTGGTCGACAAATCGCATAAAATTGCTTATACGTATAAAATTTGAATGATTTTTAACATTATATTTTTTAAACAATCTAGAATGTGCTAGAAAGTTGGTTATTATGTTCAAATAAAAAATATTTTCTATATAAAGACTTTCTTATACATAGTGCTATCACCTCTAGGACTTTAAATTTTAGTTTCTAGTTACGAAAGATAATTTTTTTTGCATTTATTCCTTTTAAAGTTTTATTAATTTCTTTAAAATTAATTATTTAAAATATATATATTTACGATGAGTGATGACCATGACCTCCTACTTTTTACTCATAATCATACGCATAATAATGGATTTTCTCTAATTAAAGTCAATGAAGAATTCCTAGCGTTAGCATTTTTCAATCGGAAAGGTGGAAGAAAAAAAAAATCTATTGATGTTCCTAGTACATATCGAATCGAACTTAAACCCAGTCATATGATGAAAGATATTAAATTGGAAAAAAGGAAAGAAAATAATGAAATGTATAATCTTTTTGTAATTCCAAGAGAATCAGAAGCCTGTAATATTTATTACAAAGCTGGAACTTATGAAGAAAAACTTTTAGTTGAAATAGAAGTTCATAATTTTTTCGAAACGTTAAACGATTAAGAAAAAAAAAAAAGGCGAAAGACCTTAATCTCTCTCGTAATACTAAGATTAAATTTTAAAAAAATGCCAATAAAGACGTCTTTATATAGTAAAACGTTAGAATCAAATTATATTATGGTTTGTTGTGGTGTCTATTATCGGACAATACTATCATACGATTTAGAACCTAATGTCATTGGTCTGGTTTTTTATAATAAATTAAATTTCTTTAACATGAGAGAGTAAGGTGTTCAAATAATATTTATTTTCCAACACCCCCTTAATGCATCCCTTTGAGTAATTTACTTTTTTTTACTTAAGTTGTTAAGCTTTTCAAAGTTATATTTTGGTTTATTTGTTCCTTTTAAAGACAATTCTAAATAATAAATAAATAAAAATACATGATTTAAAATTTCTTTCATTTCCATTTCTCCAACTAATTTAGAAGTACTAATGATAATTAAATCGATTAAAAAAAATTTTCCCTCACGTAAAAAAAATCATTTACTCCCTTCACTAAATTGAATAACCGCATATTTTCCAGAATACATCCAGCTTTTATCTGGACCTAACCTTTCTTCAACTTCTTCATCAAGTCCTACGAACACATCAGATTTTCCGGTCCTCAAAGATAACAATGGTAATGCATTTTTCGAATTTGCTAATGGACCTATAGCTTCTTTAAAAGGTGTAACAGTTTCCCATTTACAATCGTATACTAATTTTCTATAATTTAAATCACCCTTGAATATAACAAGATGAGATTTACATAAATCAGCATACAATTCAGGAGCCGTTTCTTCCAAGTGCCAAAAGGAATACGGAGAAGTCCAAAAAAAATCGGAAGTAATGATCCATTTTGAATTGGCGATGTACGATTGCCAACGATCAACAAGTTTCTCGAGGGAGGATTTTTCAATTTCAGAAGCAGATGAAAAGAAATCATTACTTTTAAGTGTTTTAAATAACCAATTGAAATCGTCCAATGTTGTATCTGAAACGAACCATGGAATTGGTTTTATGTGTAAATAAACTTCAGACACGTACCCTGATTGAATTAACCAATCCGAAAAAATTAAATCGCTATATAATTCAAACCCTAAATAAAATAATAAATTTCAAATTAATAAATATAATGGAAGTTCAGAAAAGAAATTAAAGGAATTATAATGAAAGAGCATACACATATACATATATAATATATATAATATATACCAGCATTATCTAGAATAAAATCAACTCTAGCGTTACTATATTTCGATAACCATTTCCATGCCTTTTCCAAATCATTCACCAAAATATTTTTTTTCGATTCTTCAAATCGTTTTGTCTCAATATTTTCATCAGTACCAAAATTTGGTAACATAGATAAATCAGTTGCATTCCCCCAGAGTGATATTTGAGCAAGTTCATAAAAAATTATACTATCATCTATTTTTACTTTTGAAGAAGAAATTATTTCATCGATACGTTTCGAAAATTCAAGTATACCAGAAAAAGATAATTTGAAAGATTCTTCTTTTTGACGGAAATAAGGATCATAATTTCGCCAATGTTTTGTATTTGTAATTATCGAAATAATTCGACGATATAAATAACATTCAGCGAATAACCAAGATGCTGTGAACCAATTTTCACCTTTAAAGTAAGTATTTAAGGCATCGGTCCAGTTTAAAATATCTGGTCTTCCATCGTCTTCAATTTGACTTTATAAATAATAACAATTGTTAGCAACATGTTTCATTAAAAAAAAAATAAAATAAGATCGAATATATCAAATAGATTAAATAGATTAAATGAAAAAAAATAGTAAAATTATTTAGAAAGAACACATACGTTAATTGATCATTTCTTTGAATTTGATTTATTAATTCTTCCATAGAAGCCATAATTTTTTTTCCTTCTTCATTTTTATCAATTTCCGAATAATTAAGTGAATCTCGAATATTGTCAATACCTTTTTTTATAATATCTCGCCATCTGTGTGTTGCAGTGAAATATGCAAACGTTTCTTTGTCGGCTGCTCGAAGAGCAGGTCGTGGTGGGTTCGCGGGATTGACTGACATAATTTAAACTTTAAAATATCGATATTGTAATTACCGTTATGATACGATCGATAAGAAAAAAAGGTCGTGTAACAGATCATGAAAGCATTTTTATGAGTAACATTACACAAAATTTGAAAAACAAGAGGGTAACAAATTTAGACGTGGGTAACGTTATAAAATAGTCAGAAAAAACAAGGGCAATACCAATTCTAGATGTTGCACAAAATTCGAACTTAGAATAAACCTATTATAAAATTTGTATAAAAAAAAAAGTAGGTAAGTACTTACATACTAGATATCGGATCTATGTACTGTACACTGAAAATCACTTCTATTGATCAAATGAATGAGCAAAAATATTAATATATATATTTGATTTAAACTTAAAGCCTATGGTCATCTGATACAATTTAGAAGACAGGTTCTAGACAATAAGCAGGAGAATGATTTAATCGAATAAGAATACAGTAGCAAGAATTGTATAATTGAGAAAATCACTACCCAATATTTTTAGATTTACACGGGTTACCTGAATTAATTAACATAATAGTATTTCTGGAAACCACATTACTAATTACAATTTATACAAGGGTCTACTGTCTATAATTGAATTCCCGTAAATCGGTTAAAATTTTAGCGCTAAATCATCCATTCATATATTTTTTTGACAATAAAATTTCAATCTTTTTAACACATGATATTTATGTATCAGTTTTTTCAACGCAGATATACATTCTTTAAGAATATTTCATTGATATTATAGCGTGCGTTATAGTAGTGTGAGCATGAAAAGTTCGAAATTTTTTATATTATTAACTTTAGCGTCGAAGATTCAATATAAAAATATTCTTTTGTGTTCCTTTTCGCAATACATATTTATTAAAAGCAAATCTTGGCATAGTGCAAATAGCAACTTTCTTATATATACACAGTAAAATCGAGCTTCTAGTATTATAAATTGACAAATACAATTCGAGAATTTCAAAGTAAATTTTAGGTGAGTATATCTGTTCGTATAACCCTTAGGACTTTATAAGTTCTTGACCTATTATTTTCTAAATTTATTATCTACGAATTATTAAATTTTTTGACTTCTTGATCACATAAATGAAACGCATTATTTAAACAATAATATAGTATGTATTGATTTGAACGAACTCTAATTATACAATCTATATTAATTTTAAATAAATTTACGAGAAACATCTTTATGCAGAACGTGTTTCCTCATCAAAGGGTGGCAATCCAAATATTGTTGGATCAAAATCGTTCAAAGAAAAAATCATTTCATCAGCACCATTTTTACCCGGATATAACTCTGCAATCTTAGGATCTGGTACCCAAATAACCTATTAAATGATATTAATGAAATTTTTAATTTTAAAAAAAAAATTTTTTAACGGGATTATAATCACTATAAGAAAAACTTACTTTCATGTTTGCATTCTTTGCAGCTTTGATTCCATTAATTGAGTCCTCGAATACCAAACATTGATTCGTAGGAGGGTTACCAATCCCCTCACGAGCTGCAAGAAATAGGTCCGGAGCTGGTTTACCATTCTTGACATTCGCATCATCTCCACAAGTAATATTATCAAACATATCGAATAATTCTCTATTATTGGAGGCTTTAATATTGAAACTTTCGCGACTCGAACTCGTTGCAACCTATTCCGTTATATATCTATCATTAATTTTTTTTTTTTAATAGGTAAGATAAAGCAAAGTCTTTCATTCGTATAATTTTGCTTACCGCTATTGAAATTCGGTGCTTTTTCAAATGAGCCACAAGTCGCTTATTTTAACAAACAAAAATTTTTGATTTAGGTATTATTACTTGAAATACAAAAACATCTTGTAATTAATTTATTACCATAGCGCCAGGCATGGGTTTAGCAAAAGGAAATCTTTCAAGCTTTATTCAGTAATAAAGATTATCTTTAAAAAAAAAGTGAAATTTAAAAATCAATGACATTAAGAAAATCTATTATATATCATACATTTTTTTCATGACGTTCCTTACGGAGTTCATCTGCCGTCATATTAATACCAGTTTCATTTATCAAAAGAACGGCAGACTGGATAAAATGAAATGTTAATTTTATAAAGTTAAATTACATATAAAATGTGTGAAAACAAATTCATACCTCATGTTGGCGAAGACCTAGAGAACGTGACCTGAGTTCCAAAGTATAAGTTTTTCCAAATCTTGCAAAAATTTCAGCTAAAAAAAAAATAAATACGTAAACATTATTAAATCAAATACAAACAAAGCATTAGTAGATACAGTAACATATTTAATTATTACATGTTACTTCATAATATATTTGTTCCGTATTCTATAAAATTGTAATAAGAAAATCCAATGCATTAGGATGTTAGAAAATGCATTACTAAACAAATGTACATACGTACTAGTAGCAAACCTGCATTAGCAAAAAAGAAACCGATTACATAAATCAAAATATTTATTATTATTCTTATATTTTTTTTTTTTTAAAAAAAAGAAACATTTATAAGAGAAAGAAATTAACCATCCATATCAAAAATGCAATGGGTTATTACGGGATCAATGTTCTTTCCTTCAACATTAGTAACATTAGTCGATATTTCTGCCATTGTTTTTCACCTCTATCTAGCTTTCTAAAATTAAAATTTTATATGCGCATTTTTTTTAGTATATTATTTAGCATAGATTTTAAATGTATAGTTGGTAATTTCAAAATCTATTACAATTACCTACGTCAAGAAAAGAAGGTGGTAAATGCTCCCAAAATACAGTCGAGCAGAATTATCGTTTAATATACGATCTTCAGTAATACAACTTATATGTAATTATACTCATGCTATCCTAACCAGCCTAGTTATTTGTATTATTATCTAGGCGCGTCGTTTTACAGAAATCGATCATATTCAAATGAATCGAATAAATGCTAGGTGATTTTCAAGTATAGAAAGTGCAGACACTTTCCAAAAATCAGTTTCCGGGATAAGCTATACTTCCGATTGAATAAGTGATCACGTGAAATACTAAATTAAAAGTATTTTCCCCGATCAGTATATCGATATTACATAAACATATTTGTACAACGGATTGCTCATAGTATAAAAAAAATTTTCTATTGCTATACCTTAATTTTAATCATATCAATATATAACTATATATATACCTAAGAGGACGAACACGCGCAAGGAATAAAACATGTAAAAAGGTTTATTTATAATGGTTTTTAATCTTATCTGTTATATAATATTTATTATAATAACTAATTTTCGAATAATTAGTTCATAAAAAATTTTGGAAAGTTTAAAGTTTATATGATTCACAATTGAAAATCAAGCTTCGAAAAGTTCCTGCAAACCTCTAACAAGAAATTGATATAATTTATTCAAGAAGTTTGCAGACAACTATAATATATTTTAGTACATTACAACTTTATTGTGTAACAACTATATTTAGTTAGAATAGATACATAAATGAGACCAACATGAATAATGAATTGAAACTTAATCTTGGTCACTAATTAGATTTGTAAAGGTAATAATTTATATGATTTATTCTTTAATTTTTCTTGTGAAAATTATTGACTCTTTTTTTTTAACATAATACGAATTACAATAAAAGGAGGTTTTTACTTAACCTCAAGGAACGAACGTCTTTGCTATAAAGAAAAAAAAAAAAAAAGAGTTTGAAATTCTTTAATAATTTTTAGTTAATTAAATATGCTATTAACGAAGGCATAATAATAATAATAAAAAATTAGAATTCAGAAATTTCCAAGTCAATTAATTTTGAATCTGTCATATAAATAAATAAAATGTAAGTTGTTTAACGTTAAAAATGCATAAGTATGGATAATTTAAATTTACCAGATGTAAGTTCAGCCCTTTCATAAGCATTTTTTGCTGGGGGAAAAGCTGGAAAATTAAATAATCGACTCGAATAAATGGCTTGAGGATGTGTTGTGTAATTTATTCTCGATTCAAAAAAAGTTGGACTATTTGGCGCAGATCCTAATGACCCTTTTTTTCGTTTTTCTTCAATTTCTTCGACTTGTCTCCAAAATTCATCATATTCTTCCGTATTAAGAATTCCAAACCATTTATCGAATTGATACATTATTTCTTGTGACATTGGCCTATTTTCAGGTTTGGCATCCCAGCAACGTTTAAATAATTGAATAAATAATTTTGGTGTAAAGGCGTCAGTTTGAGGACGTCGGCCTTGAATAATTTCTATAGCAAGTTCATTATTGTGTGGGGCATCATGATAAGGTGGTAAACCAGTTGCAACTTCGTTCATTAAAATTCCGAACGAATATACATCTGATGATTGTGTATATTCTCCTCCACGTAATACTTCTGGAGCGATGTAAGGGATGACTCCAAATATTTGTTTTTTCTTTTCTTCTGTATCTTGATTTATTGGTTTACATAATCCAAAATCTGTAATACTTGCTTCTTCAAGTTCGAACATTACTATATTTCCTCCGTGTAAATCACGATGTGTTAACCCTGCATTATGAATATGATTGAGTCCTTTAAGTACTGAATGTAAAATTTTAAATTTTTGATACCAATCCAATGAATAAAATTTGTTATCTAAATATTTTCGAAGATTTCCTTCTTCCGCGTATCGCATAACCATTACAAAATCTTTTGATGTTGGATCTTTAGTTATCCCATAACATGGAATAATTTTGTACCCTCCTCCGACACCTAAAGAATTTATCTGATGTTTAATCTCGTCAAAAAACCCTGCCGGTATATTTTTTGAATTATTTAAACTTTTTAAAACTACTTTAATTTCTCCAAGAAGTTCATACCGTCTTGACCAATCTTTCTTTTTAACGTCCCATTTGTAAATGTATCCTTCTTTCCATGTAGCTACGTGCACCTCTCCGAATCCTCCCTTAGAAAGATATTTGATGTCTGTAAATTTTTCGTACTCAATCCATTCTAATTTTTGAAAATGGTTTGATGCGTTAAGTTGTGTTTCTCGTATGAATTCGTCGACAACTTCGTTTTCACTACTCCAACTATTAAATTGTTGTTTAAAATGTTGTGAATTGCAAGGTTTACACCATAACCAAATATCTTCACTAGAACTTTGTTGGCCACATTCTTCACATGTGAGAATCATAATTAACTAATAATAAATGTGTGTAAAAAATATCAAAATAACGTGGAATCTCTCATTCATATGAACAACTAAAAAAATTTATATGGTCAAATATAGCTCAAATACATTTCGAAAAAAAATTTTTACAACGACACTAACCTTTACATTTTGTAATAAAGTTTTTCTTATTGCTTTTCTTCACTTAATATGCAAATGTGAGTAGTTTGTGGAGAATTTAAGAGTACGTAAGCACGCACGCAAGTACATACTTTATTATATATTTTAAAATTCGATTATACAAATATATATACTGTATATATACTGTATATTTATTTATTTAATGTTTATTTACGTTACTTTTCACAAAATAGTGAACAATAGACAATTGGGGTTGATATCAGATGATTTTAAATGAAATTAAATAGACAATTGCAAAAATGTGATTGTTTGAAAAAACTCGTTTTTTTTTGCTAAACACGTTTTTGTAATCACTAATTACCGGGGTAATCGACTAAATTATTCACATTTAGTAAACTTTCATCCTGTAAGTTAGAGATGTTAAACCGGTTCAGGAAATTTTATTGGCAATCAGCTTTTTAGTGAAATTGAGATATATATCCAGATTTATAAATTGACTTCAAATATCCCTAGGCCTTGTAATACATATACGTACTATTAGTTCTTAATAAAAAAAAAAAAGCCAAATATATACGCGCATACGTGCATAACTCTATCCTATTAAGGTAATTTATTCGCACGGATTTCTTTATCAAACATTATTCACTTTATTAAATATTATGAAGGGGAGTAGTGCTCCACTTCATCACTTTTCTCTTCTGCTATTGCATACTGTACTTATAACTAGAGTTAATACCTCAATCCGGATATATTTTTTATATCCGGATTAATCCGGGTTTATCATAGTATAAATCCGGATTTAAACTCAAATCCGGATGTATTTATATCCGGATTTAAAAACATTATGTCACGTTATATCACATGACATAGTATATATCCGGATATATAAATCCGGATAGAGGTATTAACTCTAGTAAAAACTATTAATTAATAAAATAAAAATAAAAATTATATAAAGTTTATTATTTAATAATGTTAAAGCCCAATGCTATGCACCGGGTTAAAGACCATATAAAAATTAAAATAATATTAAAAATTAAAGTATTATATTAAGTTTAAAAACTATTAATTATAATAAAAATAAAAATTATATAAAGTTTATTATTTAATAATGTTAAAACCCGGTGCGTAGCACCGGGTTAAGACTAGTACAATATATAATACTCATTTCTAACTCCCTTTAAACAATTGAAGCGCCTATTGTACAATAAAAACTTTTGTAATTTTTATAAATTTGTTTTTTTTAGTTTATTTTATTTTATTATTATTTTTTTTAAAACCCTTCTAGCTAGGGACGCCAGGAGGCGTATTTGTTAGTTTATTTTTTATATATATAATTTCAACATTTATTTATTCGTCTTTTGCCACACTTTACAGTTTCGTCAGTTTCGTCATTTAAGATTTTAATTGACGAAAGACGAAACTAGCTTTCGCGCTTCGTCAGCGCGAAACCTCGAGGTTTCGTCTAACAACTATAGTCACCTAATCTAGATCTTAAGTAAATTTTATCTAATAATAATAATATAAAAAAAACTTAAGCTTTATATTTCTTTATTAAAACGGTTAATAATTTGAGTGCAACGCAACTGAACTTTCAAAGAAGTCAAAGTATCTAGGAATTATTAACTTGTTGTTTTGATTATCTGACAAAACGATGATACGTATATAGTGAATTAGACGCTGCGACTAGTGTTGACCGATGACCATAGCATTTTTTATAACCATAATATAACTTTTAGGTCATAAGTCATATTAAATATTAATAAAAAATATATATTTTACTGATTCTTACTATATTAAAAGGTCATAAAGTCATATAAACCTTCGTTATGACCAAATGACCTATGACGGGTCATAAAGGCCGCTTTAGCAAACTAAGGTCCCTATTTAGTATTCTCTTGGAAACCAATATATATATATATGTTGCACACCGGGTGACGGTTCCTTCTGTTACCGACCAAAAATGTAACAAAGAAGAACCGAAAAAAAACCAACTTCACTAATTTTTTTTATCTCGTACTTTATTGTATTTTTTAAATTGCAAGGTCGGTGATTTATTTCATGAGTTATGAAAATTGAGCTTTTTTTAAACAGTTAACATGGTCACATAAAAAAGTACGCATAAAAAATTAAAGCCAAAACATTTACTTTTATTTTGGTGAATAGACAAAAAAGAAAAAAAAAACGATAACTCATATTAACATATCAATTCCATACCAATTCAAATATATATACATATATATTCGCTAATAAAAAAAAAAAAAAAACTTCTGCCCAAAAAGAAATATTACTAAATGATAGAAAAAACAAAAGGTTTACAATCTACTAATACGTCTACCCATCATTAAGGAATTATCAGATCTATCGTCTGAATCACGAGGACGACGGGAACGGGTATTTTTACCAGGGCGGAATGATTCAGCATTGTCCTATTATTAAAAATAAGGAATGAAATTTTTTTAATTTATCTGTAAAATGATATGAATGAATAACGACATTCGAAAATATAAATAAATTAAACTTACTTCGAAGAATGACTTAATACGAGTAGGTTTTTCGCCGGTAATTTTCTTGTAATCATCGGACACGTGATCAGATTTACCTTCTCGAATATAATCCAATTGTTCGAGGCTATTTTTAAATAAATTAGTAATTAAAATTATAAAGTGGATAACTTTTGTTATTTAACGTATGTATACTTACAGTAACTCAATCTCAAATTTGGATAAAGGTAAGTAAGGTCTAGGATGACGATCACGACGATGACGTTCATCAAGTAAGAATGGAACGACATCAAGACTCTTTTGAATATTTTCGATAATTTCAACGGCATCTTGAATGTTGGATAAAATGATTAATCGATCTTGAGTATCCAATTCAAATCTTTCTATATCAATATTCTTCAATCTCATAATTATATCTCTCATTGTATCAACAAAGGCAGCAACATTCCTACTAAATCTTTCTTCTTGAACGTCTCTGCGACGACCTGGTCCAGTAGCTCTGTCTTGCAATCCAAGAGTATTTCGATTAGTACCATGATAATTTCTGACGGAAAATTGACGGTTAACTTCTTCGAACAAAGCGGTTGCCGAAACAAGTCGGTGGACACCTTCAATAAAGTCAGATTTTCCACATTCCAAAGATTGTTGAGTATTTCTAAAGAAGTCAGCCAGAGACTCGTGCAAAAAGGCCAATCCACGTTGAATTAAATAAATGCCATCACGTTGTGCAAGAAGAGTATCATCAGTAGAATCCCACTCAGAATCTCTAACTCGTTCACGA